TTCCCTCCTCCCTTTCTTCCCTCCTTCCCTCCTTTTTTGTTTGGCGTTTGTCTTGCCAACTGCAATATGCTCTCCACTGGAGGACCCTGTCTTTTGCTTCACAGGAGGTTTCAAACCCCTAACAGTGAGTGGCACTTGACAAGTAGTTTATGAACGTGTTTTATTTGTTGAGTAAATAAGGAGCAAAAGGAGAATCTGCTGGGGTTGAAGGGAGAGGGCAGGAGACACCAAGAGTTGGAGGTTATAGCAGAGCACGTGCCTTCCGGGGACAAACTGGCTGCACCCGCCATTGAGGCCCTCTGACAGCTCGGCGTGGTCCGTTAGGTGACTAACCACCACTGTGAGCAAAGCCCAAAACCCACCAGGCTGTGATTTAATGGTTTGCACTCACCGTACTCACTCCTAGAATTACTTCATAGTTCATTAATAGTAATAATACCTTACATACTTTTTTTTTGCATTTTCTGCATCTCATTTCTCTTTCCTGGGTATTTATTAGGTTTGTGGGAGCCTCGAATGGTCCTATACTCCTGTGGGGACAGCTTTGTGGGGTTTTCTACGAGGCAGACAGTGCCCAGACAGCTCCCTCCTCCCTGATTCCATCCCTCATCTGATTCAGTCCAGTCAACCTCCCGCAGCCAGAGGGCCGGCAGCCAGGGTGGGCTGAACTGGGTGGTCCCTGAGGGCCCTGAAGGAACCTCCTCTGGGAATGGGCTCCCAGCCCCCTCCTTGTCCTCCTCCTTCCTGTCCCCATGCGGCTGGGGTCAGGAGAGCCTGCGCAGGAGGCTGTCAGGGGACACCTGGCACCTCGGAGCCATTTGCTTAGGTCCTGGTGGCCCGGGTCTCGGAGCAGAACCTGTGTGGACCCTCGGCCTCTTCCCAGCAGAGCCGTCCCGCTGGGGGGGCCCTGAGGCAGGTGCCCAGGTGGAGCCCACCTGTCTGTGTGAAACTGCCCCCGCCTGTCCCATTAGACACCTCCATTAGACACCTCGTCCTTGACGGCACCCCCCCTCCCCAATGTCTCATGCCCCACCCAGGAAGCAGCTTTTCTGTAACCTGGCAGTTCAATCCCTTCATTTATTGGTTCATCGGGTTTCAGAGCCAGACTTTATGGCGCCTGTGCATGCCAGACTCAGGGCTGCGTCTGGAACGGCGCACAGACCCCGCATGGACTGTGCTCTCGGGACGGGCCTTCTCCTGAGAGAGATGGCAGTGCTCTGTGAGTTCCGGGCGGGAGGGCGAAGGGGGGGGCTGGGGGGGCTGTCCCGCTGCAGGGTCATCCCAGAGTGTGTGTCCGAGACCCTGGAGCTCCCATCCTCTTGCACCAACGACAGGGAACAGCCAGCTCCCGGTCTCCAAGGCGATGGTGTCTACACCTGGGACCCACCCGCACAGGCCTTTGTGAATAGCTGGGTGTGAGCAGTGCTGTGCGACTATAACAGCGTTCTTAACAGCTCAGCCTCGTTTCTGCTTTTGGAGACCTGGACTTTTCCTCGGGCACTGGTCTGCTGTGAGCAGGAAGGAGTGAGGCAGTCCAGAGCTTCCTGAAACCTGACTCCCAGCCAGGGCACGGCAGGCTCGGGCTTAACCCTCACAAGTTGCAATCACCATCCCGTTCAGTGTGAAACCCCCGGTGAGCCGTCGGGAAAGCAGCAGAGTCCTCTGGCTTCTATGAAAACCCCTTCCAGGCGGTTGCAGGTGTTTTTACTTCAAAACCGGCTTCCCTGTGGGCAGAGGGAACGGGCTGAGACGAGGGGACGAGCGCCCATTGGGAAGCGCCAGGCGGCTTCCAACCTGCCAATCAGCGAACCCGTAAACTGCCCGGATGGAGCTGTTCCAATGTTCACTCTGTCAGACCCTCGCAAGATCACGTTCAAGGGGGAACAGTGCTCGGTGTGAACGTCTGTTGAGCTGACTTCCTTGGTGCACTCCTTCCCCACTCTGTCTTGGGGAGGAGGGGGGTTAAATTCATTCCAGAAACTCTAGAGCAGCAAAGCAAAAACAGTGACACTTAATCCTAGTTTAAAAAAAAAAAAAAAGCAAAATATTTTACTTGCTTCAGCATCTGTCGGTTCCTCAGCCTTTGCGTGTTCCTGTGTGTGTGACACAATAATAACACTCACTCTGTATTCTCACAAACTCCTAACAACCGTCCCACCACATGCTCGCCCTTCCCGCCGACCTTGAACCTGGCTGGGCCCGAGGTGACCCTGAGAGAGGTCTCCCCAGAACCGCCTTCCTCAGTGCCCAGCCCCGGGCAGGCCTGAGGGCAGGCCGGGGTCTGGGTCTGTGCTGGGGGCTGGGCTCTGGCTTCTGTCAGCGATGCTCCAAGCACCAGTGGGGGTACGGGGCACCCCAAAACCCACTGGAGCAGTGGCAGGAGAAATTGCTCTAGGCGCGGCTCATTTCCGCTTGGAAAGGCTTGGGGCCATCTTGTCATGTCACCACCACGCACACTGTTCTGAGGGACATGGCGTCCTGACAGTGACCCCGGAAAACCTGGAGCAGTGACCCCGGAAAACCTGGGCGGCCGCAGACAGTGATGGCAGTGTCGGCAGATCTTCCTGGTCTCTGTTTCCAACCAGCACTCGAGCCTGATCCTCACGGGACCCCATCCCACCCTTCAGCAGCAGAGGACAACACAGGGTCACTCCTACATCCTTCCCAACCCCGGGCATGGCCCTCTGCTGCCCGAGAGCCACCCCCGGCCCCGGCCACCTGCTCCGGCTCTGCTCCTCTGAGAGGCCCCTGACTCGGGGAGACCCTGAGGACCTGGTGCTCCACGCCTGCAGACACGCCGGGGAAGCAGGAGCCGGTGCCGGCTGCAGGCTTCATGGACGCCGAGCTCCTGGAGGCACAAGCCCGGGCCGTCCTCGGCGACTGCACAGCGAGCAAGCAAGCTCTGCTTCAGTCTCAGCAGCTGCCTTCGCGGCAGGAGGCACATATCCCTCTGCCCCTTACAAACGCCATCAGTTCTAAGAGAGCGAGAGCGAGCAAGAGCGAGCGAAAGCGAGAGAGAGAGAGAGAGAGAGAGAGAGAGGAGAAACAGAACAGAGGGGGAAAGCAAAATGAAAACCCGAAGGACCAGCCCACTGAGGCCCAGCCTAGGGAACTCCGGTCCGCGCTAAAGTGAAGACCGGTGCACGGTGCACCGTGCTGGGGCCGGGGCGGCCCAGGGAGGGACGGAGGGAGTTCTCCCAGAGGCGGCACCGGGCGGGGCTGGCCTGCACGCCGGTCCGGACGTGGCACAGGGTCGCCCGTCTTAGATAAGCACAAAAGGCCGCATCTCCCCTCCAGAGGTCCATGGGAGTGGTGGTGTCGTCCTCAGTGATGGGGCTTTTCCGGTCGCTTAACCTGGTGTTGACGTGCACGTGGCTGAGTTTGGTTGGGCGCCCGGCTGCAGCTGGAGCGACGGAGGAAGATGCTGTGCGGGGTGGGCTCCGAGCTCGGGACCCCCCTTGCGCAGGGACTTCTGTAGGACAGGCTATGTTTCAGTCTGATGGCCAGGCAGAGGGAAATGTGGACCGGCTAGTGTAAGCCGCACACAGAGCCTGGGGCAAAGCGGCCGTGGTCTGTCTCCGGCCCTGAGGCCTGGCCGCTGTGGTGGGCCCCTCGGCTTCAGCCCCGGGAAGGTCTGGCAGCACAGAGCAGGGAAAACCAAAAGGGAAAGATGGTGCGGAGGCAACAGGTCCGGATTCCGTGTCATGGAGTCTGTAAATTACACGGGATTTCCTTGCAAATTACATGTATCTCCCCCTGCTGATCATCCACAGCCGCCAGCCTTGTGCACTGTGCTCACCCGCGGGCGAGGGAGCGTATGACTCAGCTTGGCCACGGCGCGGCCGTCTGCCCTGTAGACTTTGGTTATGACGGCCTGAACCGGGAGACAAATGGGAGTGGGCTGTGAGCAGCAGCAGGAGGTATTTTTAGTTCCCTTTGGCAAATATTTTTGTCTGTTGATTATGTTACCAAGCACAGCTCTGGCCGAGGAAGTAAAAGGCACTTAAGACTCGGTTTCCCCCCTTAGCTTGGAAAACAGACACATTAATCAGTCCGCCCTGCGATATGACAAACCCCACCATAGGTCGCTGACGCCGGTGGTGGGACAGGCAGCGTGGTTCTGCCAGTGCACACACCAGGACACACGTGGCTCTCCCAGTGCACATGCCAGGACACAGGTGGCTCTGCCAGTGCACACGCCAGCCTCGTGGGTCAATGCCCAAGACTTGCCGGGGGCCTTCTTGAGCTCAGACTCTGGTGAAACAACGGACACCTTGGGACAGTTTGGAGCCTGGGCATGTACACGGCTGGAGCCGAGCCCAGAACCCCCCACAGACTCACCGCGCGTGGGCAGGGCGGGGGCCGATGCTGGGAGGGCCGCCCAGAGGCCGCGGGCCGCCCGCCGGTGGGCCTCACTGTGCGGAGGACACGGCGACAGTCCTTGGGGAGCACAGCGAGGGGCTGGGAAGCCAGGTGAGCCGTCCCCGTGGCCGACAGGCACGCAGCCGAGTGGATCGTATGCGTGTCTGAGGCTGCAATGGCTGGAGAACACGTCTGTGCTGACCATCTTACAGAGGAAGGCACGGAGCTCAGGCCGAGAAACGTGATTATCTTTTCAAAAGTTCCGCTTCAAATTACTGGCAGGGCCGGGTGGACCCTCAGTGCCAGGAGGACCCCCCCGGGCTGGGAGTCTACGCCGAGGCCGACAGCGCGCCTCCTCCATCCTCGCTGGCTGGCCGTGGAGTGAGCCTTTAGAGTCCCCTTCGCCCCTTCACCTGCAGACGGGAGCGATGCCACGGGACCCGCCGTGTGCGGCCTGAGAGACACACACACATAAGCAGGGAGGTGTGCGCTCGAACGCCAGCCAGAGCGCTGGGCCAGGGTCTGCAGCGTCCCTCCCGCACAGCAGTCGGGGTGGGGGGAGTGTGTTCACTGTGTTTTGGACACAGAAAGCGGCGTCCTTGCTGGTCTATGCTGTTCTCACCTCCGTCTCTCCTCAGGGCCAAGGAGATTAAGATCAAGTTGGGGACGCTCTTGCAGAAGCCAGACCCGGCTGCCGACCTGGTCATCCCCTACAACGAGAAGCCGGAGAAGCCCGAGAAGCCAGCGAAGCCGGAGAAGCCGGCCAAGACCCAGAAGTGAGTGGGGGGGAGGGTCCCCGCCGCGTCCCGGGGGCAGCTGAGTGCTCCCGCCTCACCGCAGGCTGGCACTTGGGGGCGGAGGTGCCTCGCTGCGGCTCCTGAGCCGGGTGCGTCTGCATGGCAGGACGGTTACACACAACTGTGGGCCACCTGGGACCATGCCCTGCATAGAGAAGGTGCCCCGCCTCGTCACCGGCTCTTTGCCACCAGGGGCAGGTGCCCTCTGATCCATTGGTGCTGGGCCCTAGCGCCCACCTGGTGCTGCCCCCAGGGAGACGCCAGGGATCCCCCTAAGGAAGAGGCTCCAGCCAGGCAGACAACTTCTCCAAGACAGTGCCAGGCCCAGCGGGGGCGGGGGTGGGGTGCATAGAGAATGCTCCCTGCTGGAGGCGTGCACACTGGGCCAGCTCTCCTCGTAACGCACAGCGCACAGTCTCTCCCGCCCAAACCCAGTGTCCCCATCTGGGCTTCTGCAGGTGGCCTCCTGCTCCCACCTCCCACCTCCCACACTCACACCTGCCTTGGTTCGAGGACACAGGTCTGCAGACACAGGCATCTTGGCAGGGCGCCAGCTCCCGGCACCAGCTCCTCAGTAGCTCAGCGGGCAGCATTCACGCGCTGGCCTCACGCGGCAGCAGCCCATCCTGCGGGAACACCCAGTGCCTCCCTCTGAGCGCCCAGGAGGAGGTGCAGGAGGGGATCCCGGGGAGGTGGGCCAGATGGACTCAGAGCCCACGCTTCTCTCCCCGGACACCGGAGGCGTGGCACATGCGTGTAAAGTGAAGTTCTCCTTTTACTGCCCTTCTTTCCATCTCCATCTTTGTCCCGGCTTTTCTAGGTTCACATGACCTGGGACTGCGCACAGCTGCCTGGCGGGAGGCAGACAGGTCTTTCCTTCCCACCTCCCTCACCTGCGTGGCGTCTCCCTTCTCCTGCGCTCATTACCCTGCTCCCAGCTGCAGGGGGAGTGGAGGGGGGATGGGGGTCTGTTTCCTGCCTTCAGGAAGGGGGCTGGTCCCGTGTGCAGTGCGGGCCCCACATTCCACAGCAGCTACTGGTCAGGAGTCCAGTTTCTTTGTTGTTGTTGCTAATCCTCACCCAAGGATATTTTCCATGGATTTTTAGAGAGAGGGAAAGAGAAAGAAATATCGATGCAAGAGAGACACATTGACTGGCTGCCTCCTGCACGTGCCCCAACCAGGTCCTGGGCCAGGGAGGAGCCTGCAACTGAGGCACCTGCCCTTGACCAGAATGGAACCCGGACCCTTTGGTCCAAAGCCCAATGCTCTATCCCCTGAGCCACAGCGGCTGGGACCAGAGAGTCTGTTTTGAAGGTCTGTTTTGACGTGGTGCTCACTGATCTCTGGAATTCATCCTATATAATAAAGAGGGAATATGCTAATTGACCCTCACACCATCGCAAAGAAGGCAGTGCCCACAGCCACAAGATGGTGGCAATCATTCCCCCAGTTCCCCAGCTACCCACGGCCACCCGAGGCTCAGGCAAACAGGACCAGCCAAGGCTTGCACTGCCGGCAGTGGCAGCAGCAGAGGTGTGATGGGGCATCGCCTTCCCCTGATTGCTGGATTACCTCTCGCCCCTGAGGGCTCCCAGACTGTGAGGGTGGCAGCCGGGCTGAGGGACCCCCATCCAGTGCATGAGTGTTCATGCACCGAGCCTCTAGTGTTAAAATAAGCCCAGGACCACACCCCACCTCCATGTTCTGCTTTAATGTCCACAGACACTGACTCACTCGGTGCACAGGGTCGGGCAGAGCAGCATGGGGAAAACCTGAGGCTGCTCCTGTTGTCTTCCTGTCTTCCCACCCTTTGTGAGGGAGTGAGAATTGCTTTGGAAATTTGTCATGTCCCCGGAGACCGTTCCCCTGAGCTCCCGCCCCACCCCCACCCCCATCGCGTAGGGGCGCATTTCCAGCTAACGGGACCGGACTGCTCTGTGTCCTCCCGCGACCTCGGCCCCCACTTTAACATTTCTCTGTATCGTTTTCACTCATGTTCTTCTCCCAGAGAAGAAATAAACCTTAGAAGCTAAAATAAACCTGATGCTATTTTTAGCCCCATCATCTATTAAAAAAAATAATAATCCTTTTGTAAACAAGCATTTCCTATTTTTTGGATATATCTTTATTCTCATTAGGGAAAAAAAAATATTGAATCATGGAATAAGATAGAAAAAAGTTGCCCTTGTCCCAACCCTCCAGTTGGCTCCCCTGCCTGGTTCAGAACGGCCAATTGCTCTGTCCCCCTAGACCCTCCCTCGGGGGCAGGTGCCCATCCACTCTGAACAATGCCCTCCCCCCTCTGCCCTCTCCCTGCTCTGCCCTGCCGCTCTGCCCTCCGCACCGGCCCGTTCTCTCTTCTCTTGAGCACCTCTGGGCCTGGGAAGTCACTGTTCTAGCCTCTCCTCTAGCTCCTTCTTGTTAGGTGTAAGGTCACCCACTGAGACTGGCAGCTTGAAGATGCCTCCTCTGCTCTCCCCGCCCCCAACATTTGACTCCGCCCCCTGTTGGCCGCCTTAGCACCACCCTTCACTGGCTCCTGGGACCCACTTCTCTTCCTCCGAGGCCCCCCTGCCGCCTGCCCTCGGCAACCGCCTGCCCGTGGCTCACAGCATCCACCGGGCCTGCTCAGAGGGTGTGACCCTCTTACCGTTCAGCTTACCCTCTCCAGGCTCCTCTCCTCCCTGCGGGCTCACTAGCTGTTAGCTCCCTTTCTCTGGTTGTTGTTTTCCGCTTAGGAACTCTAGACCCGTGGCTCTCCAGCTTCCTCATGCCGCGACCCTTCAGTACAGCTCCTCATGTAGTGGTGACCCCCAACCATAACATTACTTTCGTGGCTACTTCACAACTAATGTTTGCGACCCACAGGTTGAGAACCGCTAGCAGGGTCGCCTAAGACCATTGGAAAACACGCATGTTTACATTATGATTCATAACAGGAGCAGAGTTACAGCTGTAAAGTAGCAACGGAAATAACGTTATGGTTGGGGGTCACCACGACATGAGGAGCCGTATTAAAGGGCCGTGGCATGAGGAAAGTGGAGAGCCGCTGCTCCAGATGGAGCCCACGCAGAGGGCGCCCAGCCTGTGGACAGGTCTGGCGTGTGTCCGTCCGCACACTGCCGGCCAGACTGACATCCACAGTGGCTGGCCTCTTGTGCTGAGGACGGGCCGTGGCTGCTGGTGTGGTGTAACCACTAACGCTGTCCCCTCGTTCTGTCTCCTCCCTGCCCCAGGCCGTCGCCCGAAGAGGCCCTGCAGTGGCGCGGCTCCCTGGACAAGCTCCTGCAGAGCAGCTGTAAGTGCCCCTCGGTTTGACAAGAGCAGCGGAGGGAGGGGAGGGGACGCCGTCCATGGCCGGGTCATTTCTTACATTTCCAAAGCGCCCTCCACAAGGGAAGGTGCCACGGGGGTGTGTTGAGAACGGAGGGTGAGCGTCCTGAGAGCAGCTTACGGCTGATGGCATGTCCACTGTCCTGTGTGCATGTGTCCTCGCCGTGTGCCCCTTAGTACGTCATCAGGAGTGGAAGCGCGCCCTTGCCAGCTGAGCCTCGCGGGGGGCTGATGAGGACTGAGAGCTGTGTAAGCGCCGCTGGGCTGTGGGGCTCCCATGCTCCTGTGACCCTCTGACATGGGTGCAAGGGCCCGGCTGGCTTCCCCTGGCAGCATACCTTTCAGAGCTTCATTCGAGGCAGGACTAAGGTGTCAGCGAGAACTCCTGCCCGGGCCATTCCAGTCCACGTCGCACACTGCCCTGACCCACATCCTGAGCATTCCCAAGGCTGATAGTATCGAGTGCCATTTCCAATGTCCGGGAAGCCCCATGGTGCTCTTGGCTGGTCTGCCGTCACACCGCTGCCCCGCCTGCCGGCTTTCCACACGCGCCCTCTGCGGGCACCGCTGTGCTCACCTCCCTCCCCTTCAGAGCTCATCGAGGCCTGCCCTTTCGCCCCCTCTGCGCATCCAGAGGCACTTGTCTACTTTCCTGTGCCCCTTCACGCTGGCGACCCTGCTCCACATCTACTTTATTCCGTTTAGAGTCCTTCCCCTCCTCCTATAGATTACAGACTCATTGGCAGCCAGGACTTAGCCTTTGACCCCCATTATTTTGCAACAGGAAGTGCACGATACATGGAAAATAAATATTTGTGGAATAGCCCACTCTAATAATTATTCTGCCTACAATACCGAACACATATTTCTTCACTGCAAGAATGGAACGTGACATTTAGTTTGATGCCTTGCGAAAATAAGGATTAAAAAACCATTTCTCACAGGCTCTTCATGATTAACCGGCACAGAGAACATAACAAACAGTGTGTGCTCACTGGACCCGGACATTTTGTCTCATTTGGGTGGGAAAGTTTCTGCTTTCCGGCTCAGGATCTCAAGGCAAAACACCAGCTCTCCCATCCAGAGCGTCCTCAATCCTTGCTGATTCTTTTCACATTCTGTGCTGAACAGAGCACCCTGCCCTGACCCGTGCACTGTCCAGTAAGTGCTAGTGACATAACGGGTGACAAATGGATTCTGCTGCTTCTGGAACCCAAATTCCACAAGATCAACTAAGAGGAAAACACTGATGTTGACCAGTTGACTTCCTCCTTGTCTTTGGCGGGGGCTGGGGCCAGTGGCCAGCTGGCAGGTGCAGAGGGATGCTTTGGGAGCTCAGTGCCCTGGGGCTGGGCGTGTATTGCTCGTTGCAGAAACCTAAGAATTAGCAGGACGATTCCCATGGTCTCAAAACTACTGAGGAGGAGGGTGTAGATGATATGCACAGTCCCTTCCAGCCATGCAGACGCTGAGGGCAGCAGCTCGTGTTTCAGGCTTTGGGGGACAGAAGCTGCCGGGTGAGAAAGAGGGGATGGTGAGTGAGGCAGTTCATGTTAACACCTCAGCATTCGCTGAGGGACTGAAGTCTTTCAGTTTGCAAACCAGAGTGAGCTTAAGGCCGGAAATTCCGCAATAATGTTTCCTATTTCTCGGGGGGAAGGTAGATATGCATGTGTGTGTTCTGTGTTAGGGCTGCACTTGCACGATGTCCAAAGCTGCCCACTCGTTAGGGCCGCTCTGGGATGGTCCCGGACGTCCCAGCCCAGGGCTCACAGGGGACCAGCAGGGTCTCGGGCTTCCGAGGCAGTGATCCCTGAGCAGGTGTGCCGAGGTGTCCGGAGGCTGTGCAGGCTCCGCAGAGAACAGCCTGCCAATCCGCAGGAATGTGGGAAGGGGACTCTGCTGGGCAGGGTCTGGGAGGGACAAAGAGGACGCATGTGTTGCTTGCAGAATAGAGACGTGTGCTCTGGAGTCCGTTAAAGTCAGACCTGCCAGGACTAACAGAGCATCTGAGAGGAATGAGCCAGAGATTAGATGGGAAGGTACGAGGGGGCTGAGAGGAGGGGGCGTCAGAGGGTCCTTGTAAGGGGCCCCCCTGCGAATCCTCAGAAGCCAGATGAGCAAAGAACAGCCCAGAGCAACAGAGCTCAAAGCCGTTTTCTGAGTCTGGGCTGGAAGTGCATCTATTGAACTCCTTGAGGCAGTATTGTGGGGCTCAGCGCCGGGCTGCCGGGCATTCCAGCTCCTTCCTTAGGCACCGTCGGGAGTCCTGGCGCCATCGGGAGGAACAGTGTGTGGGAGCCCGAATCTTCTCTCCCTTCACAAAGAGGCAGAATAACTCGGAGCGCTGATGGAGACGTGGAGGCAGGAAATGGGCTGCAGACTCCCTGAGGCTGTGTCCTCCAGCCTCAGAGCTGGTTGGGTGGGGACTCAGCAGACTGTCCCACCTGCATTTCCTGGCAGCTGGAAAGTGCCTGCAAAGGTTCCCATTCTGACAGGGATTACCAGACACCTTTGTTTAAGAAACAAGAGCCCTGGATGGTAAGCTCAGTGGTTATAGAGTCAGTCCCACAAGGAAGGGTTGAGGTTTCAGTCAAGGGCATGTACCTGAGTTGCAGGTTCCATCCCTGATCAGGGTGCATGTGGGAGGCAACAATCATGTGTCTCTCGCATCTTTCTCCCCCTCTCTCTGTCTCCCTTCTACTCTCTAAAATCACTGAGAAAAGTATCCTCAGGTGAGGATTAACAGAAACAAACAAACAAAAGGAACAGTGAGAACAGGAACGGCGAGGAGAGAAGGGCCTCGCTCCTCTCAGCACAGACGTGACAGCGTGTCCCTGCGCTGCAGCCAGCACGAAGGCCACCGGGCAGGGAGGGGGAGCTTCTGATTGCCTGGGGCACAGTGTGAGGTGGATTCTAAGTGGCCTTTCCAGCGAGGCTTCCAGAGGAAATCGCTCAGCAGCTGCCCGCGCCGATGCTCAGTAGGAGCCGTTTTTAAGGTCGCACAGGGAGGGGTGGCATGCCATTGCCCTGCTGGAATCCGCGTCACTGGTACCTGGCCCAGCTCGCTGTCACAGAGCCATCCTGCCTCGTCAGAGGTGGACTGGTTGCAGGGACTTCGCAGGCACGGAGGCCAGGAACATACCCAGACGATGCATTGACCAAAGGACCCCGCTCTCCTGGTTTAACCATCATGGAGTTGCAGCCGGGCGTACAAATCCCCGTGCTGGGCGGTGATGAATGCAGGGCGTCTACGAAAAGGAGGAGACCAACTCAAGAGAAGGGAAATAGAGGAAATTAGGTCAAAGGAAATGAATTCAGTAGGGGAAAGCTCCCAGCAAGAGCTAAGAGCTTCCAGAAGGCTTGCTGGTGGGGACAGTGAGGGGCAGACCAGGCCAGGTCCTGGGACTGGGGGGGGGTGGGGGGCGTGCATTCACCTGGTGCCATGGGAGCAGCCGGTGCAGACGAGCACCTCCCCGCTTTGGGAGCTTCCTTACGGGATAAGCGGACGTGGGCTCTGCAGGTCTGTCCGGATGTCTGCTTTAGGTCTGTCTGAGAGAGCGCCAGGCAGCTTCAGAGAGGAGGGAGATGGTGAAGACCGAGTTCCCTTCTCCCATGCTGGTGCCTCCCCGTCCCCAGGCTGCCGCCCCGCTGCGTGGCGGTGACAGCTGGAGGGCAGGACACAGGCAACATGCCAGCCAATGCGAGCATCGGGCGCGGCATGCCAGCCCGTGTCTGCGTGTGGATGTACCTTTAACACCTTGTTTCAAAGCCCGATGTGTGACTGCTGGCCGGTCGCTGCTCGGTGGTACCCCCCCCCCCCCCCCGCCTTCAGACACAGGGTTGGTGGCCTCCACACGCGCCCTGACCAGGGATGGATTACAGGCCCCTCCTTCGGAGGCCCCTCTGCTCTGTCCCTCCTCCCCGGTGCCCCCTCCATTGTCACGTGTTCTTAGTGTTTCCTCATCTTCTCCTGCTTCCCCAGACCCCTCCACTCTCTCAGACAGAACATCTGTTCACCCACCCAATGGCTCAGCATAGGCCTGGTCCGCACAGACGTCATCTGAGAGAGAGGAAAGGGTTGTAGTCAGCGTCCTGGCACTGCCACTGCCAGCCCAGTTCCCAGTGCAGTTTCCAACAGAATCCTAGTGGGCGAGGGCCGTGCACCAGGTCACAGCGTCCCTACCTCTGTGACAGCATCCTGGGTGCCGGACGCTGGCCAGCCTCTCCGGAACACGGGCGCCTGGCCCCCTCCCAGCTCCGTCCCCTGCCAGCCGGTTACTCAGGGCACTGCTGCGCGGTTCTGGCCTCACCTGGGAAATAGGATATTAATCACCTCTGCCTCAAGGGTCATAGGGGAAGTACATGCGTTCATTTGTAAGGCTCCTCCTCAGTGACAGAGATGGGTAGCCTAGGTGACATCGCGGGCCACGGTGACGGACAGGTAGATGGCGGTGGGTGAGACAGATGACAGGCAGACGACAGATAAGTTCATCTGTTTCTTCGGTGACCTTCTTCCCTGCTAGATGGGCTGGCCAGCTTCAAAAGCTTCCTGAAGTCCGAGTTCAGCGAGGAGAACCTGGAGTTCTGGATGGCCTGTGAGGACTTCAAGAAAACCACGTCCGCGGCCAAGATGGCTGAGAAGGCCAAGAAGATTTATGAGGAGTTCATCCGAGCCGAGGCCCCGAAGGAGGTGGGTCCCCAGGGGGTGAGCGTGGTCCGGAGGCTCTCGCGGCGGCGCCCCGGAGGGCCACGCCTGGGCGACAGTGTGCAGCCCACGGCCCCTCTGACCGGGAGTGGCCACCGTTCCTGAGCGCCTCCTGGGGGCAGAGGCGGCCGTGTGGCCAAGCAGCCAGGAACTTGTCCTGCTAGTCTGCGCCGAACAGCGTGGTCTCACTCAGCAGCAGTGACACCGACTGTGACACTGAATGAATCAGCGGGTCCCCTGAACCTAGCGTCCTCCTGTCCTCCTCCGGGAAAAGGGTGAGGAGGACAATGAGCAGGGTCCCAAGAAGGCATTAAGCAGTGGATGTGAAAACACACATCAGTATCCCAGCTATTAACACCTAGCGAGTGGCCCTACCTCTGTCATCTCTCTCTTCCCCGCCCCTGCTTTCTTCCTGTGTGAACTCCTTTCCCCGCCCTCCGCCACTGCCACCGCTTTGTCCACACCCCATCGGCAGTTTACGCATTTATGCTGGGGCCGGGGGTGGGGGTGGCAGCGGGGTGCCCGCTCCAGGAGGTCAGGTTGGGCCAGATGAGACAGTGGGAGGAGCAGCTTCCAGCAGTCACCACCGGCGACCAGCTGTGCGCGAATTGCAGAGAGGCCCTGGGGTCCTGTGTCCGCTCTCCGTGGTGAGAGCTGTGCGTGGTGCCGGGTCAGAGCTCTCTAGTACCACCCTGCACCCCTGCGTCCATTCGGGGATTGAATCTCCCAGGAAGGGCAGCCAGCCCCACGTGGTCCGAGGAGCCCTGCAGGTGGACAGCCATCTCTCTGGGTGAAGTGAGGGCTCTCCCCTGACACCCCTTCCCTCCGAACGTTCTCCAGACTCTGGTTATGAATCAGTCATCGCTAATCCTTTCCAGAGGTGCGTGTTTGAATGTCTGGACCAAGCACAGACCTCACTACCACAGTGAGCCCCTCCAGACTGCAGGGATGAAAGACCATGGTGTGTAGGGGCCTGTTGGGTCAAGGGGGAGAAGGGAGAGTCCTGGAGATTACGGGGTTCCATGCTGCGGTGGGAATTAGCTCGGGCTTCTCTGCAGACCCCTCCTCCTGCCCCTCAGCCTCCGCCCTGTGATGAGGAGGCCAGGGTGCTGGCCACCCTCTCCCTGCCAGCAAGAGTCTCTCTTCATGATGTCATCACGGACACGAGTTCCCTACTTCCCAGGATTCCCCAGTTCTAGCCTGCTTGCCCACCACTCCATTCCTCTTTATGGAACCCAGGCCAGGGCTCAGGCTGGAGCCCCAGGAAAACCTTCTCATGTCCCTTACTCAAACAGGGGTGTTGTCAGGGAAACGGAGGCCCTGGGAGTGGCGTTCCAGCACGGATAGGCCCCTGGCTGAGTCACCAGCACAAGCACAGGGTGGCCCCGTCTAGGGACCCAGGGCTCGTTAAACGGCCTGCCTCCAGGCGAGACGGGTGCACACCTGGATCCAAACACACCCCTGAGCTCCGTGACCGTAGAGAAGCCACTTTCCCTTCACACACACCCTACCCCTCCCGGACAGAGGACGGGCCGGTGCTGGGCCCTGGCTTCAGGCGCACAGCGGTGGGGTGGGCGCCCAGGGCGTGTCTAAGGGCCGCGTCCTCACCCGAGTGGCCTTTCCCACGATCTAAAACGTGGAAGCCACGTCCTCACTCTTTGGGGCCACCCCCCTCCGCGCCCTGACGGCCTGTGCGCTCCCGCAGGTGAACATCGACCACCTCACCAAGGACATCACCCTGAGGAACCTGCTGGAGCCCTCGCCCAGCAGCTTCGACATGGCCCAGAAGCGGGTGCACGCCCTCATGGAGAACGACTCGCTGCCCCGCTTCGTGCGCTCCGCGTTCTACCAGGAGCTCATGAAGTAGCCGGGCAGCGGCCTGAGAGCCGTCCGCGAGTCCCCCCTCCACGACCCCCGCGTTCCCAGCAGGCGACTCCCTCCCTCCAGGCTCCTCCCCGACACCCACGGGGGACCCCAGGCGCTGACTCACGCGGCTCACCTTGCTCTGCCATCATTGTCCGAAAGGCTTCCTTCCCGTCTCCTCGTCCCACCCGCCCTGCACTGAGCTCCCCTCAGATCATAAGCCTGAGCGCGTCTGCTGCCACCCGGACTGGCTCTGCCCGAGGCCAGGGATGCAGACAGGCGTGGGCAGTGCTGAGCACGGTGCCTGCGCTGAAGGTCAGGGGCCGCCCGCCACGGCCTGGCAAGCACCGGTGTGGGCGGCTGGCTGCAGGGAGGGTCACGGTCTGGTTTGTTGTTTGAATCCTGGTCCAGGGCTTCACCCTCCAAATTATTTCTGACCCTGGTTAGTAAAAGGCCACTATCCAATTGCTTAGCAAGTTACTTAAAAGGTTGAGCATTTTCGGGTAGCTGGAGATTATACCCAAGAGAGATGATCAGGAGCAGGTTGTGTTTGTACATCATCTGGGTGCACACTGCCATACCGATTCTTTCTCTGCCGCTCAGAACGCCCCATAAAGTCACCACATTCTGTCTGAGAGCGATGGCAGAGGTCGGCAGTGGGCTCTGCCATAGTCGCAGCTCTGTCCCAGCGTGTGGGCCCAAACATCCCGTTCCGCATTGCTCCCAGGCGTGCACGTGTCCAAGTCTGACATGTTAGCCCCGGAATGCAGACTAAAGCATTTCTCACCTGCGGTTTCTCACCTCGGTCCGGAGGGCTGGGCGCCAAGCCCGGAACTGCCCTCCCCCGGCGGGAGGGGCATCCTGGTCACTGTCTGTTCGGTAGATGAGATGACAACACCCGTTACCTTTGGAAGGTGGGCAGGACTGACGTGGGGTTTGTAAGTGGGAGAGCTTTAAAGTGCCCTGCTAATAACCTTTAGCCGCCCCATTCCCTCCCTATTCTTCCGTGTTAGTGAATTGCCATCACAGTGCAAGCAGCGCCCCCTCCCCATTCTATCCCCCCCTCCCCATGCCTGTGCGCTTGCTGAGGACATGCGTCACTTTGTATCTCGCTGTGTGAGCCTCGCGTGGCTGTCTATGCTGTAGAGCTGGTGATAGGTGAAGTCACTACTTACTGGCGGCGTGGCCAGGAGAATCCCAGCAAACCCGTCAGAAGGGGGCCCAGCGAGGCTGGTGAGTGCGTTAAACAAGAAGGTGCTGGAAAGGCTAATAGAGTCCTGGAATGCCCCGAGGAGGCCCCTTGCTTAGTGCTGGGCCCCTCTTCCCCTCCCCGTGTCGTTCCCACGCTTCTGGTCCCCACGTTGGCAGCCCGTGTAGCAGGTGTTCCTCAGAACAGAAAGGGAAGCAGATCTGTCACCATGTCCGCCGGCGGGAGGTGCTGTGAGTTCCTCCGTCCCTGTCGCTCCGAAGGCTGCCTCTCAGCCAAAGCCTTCTGTCCGCTGCCCGGCTGTACGGGCGGGACTCGGGCCCCTGCCAGCACTTCCTGTGGGGTGAGTGGTCACATTTGTCAAGAAAGCCCCTTCAAGGACACGCTGTCACCAGCCCAGACCGCTGGGACAGGCCACGCCTCGGTCAGGAAGGCCACCACACAGCAGGGCGGCCGCTCGGGGACATGGCACCTCCTCCCCCGAGTCCACCCGGCCGTTACACCGCCAGCCCTCCACCTTCTAACCCAGCCGAGGCAGCAACCAGGGGCCAGGCCCTCGTTTTCCCAGGCACACAGTGACATTGTACATACATTATACACAACTTAAAATTTCAAGCCATAGACACATACACAAAGCTCTTCACTGAATGAATATAATAAGGAACACAGATATCACACCCCCAATAAAAACTGCAAACACATCAAAGTTGCCCTAGAAAATGTCTTTGAAATCTTTTGGAAGTATTTTTAAATTTAGAAAAGAGAAAAACTGTTACTAGGAGTCTCCAGGGTAACACAAAGAAAATACATTCTTTTAATTCTGGGCAGTTAGCAAAACTGGGGTGACTTCCCAGGAAAGACAGAGCACCACCTGTTTCTCGGTGGCTGTGCCCTCCGAACCCCTCCCCGAGGACACCCCGGGGGAGGAGCAGGTGGAGGCCTGGGTGCGGACAACGGTCAGGGGAGCGGGCATCTGTGCCCTCTCTCAGGGGAACAGGGTTAGGCCAGGGACGCCAGCACGGAGTCTTTCTGCCGGGGTGGGGTCGCTTTAAATTGGACCAGAAGCAGGACTCAGACTGGATTCTGTGTTCCATGTTTTTCTACTAAAGCAGTACTGGTTCATACGAACACCCTGCACACACACACACACACACACACACACACACACGCTACTCACACACACATGCCACTCAGTCTCACATATACACTCACACGCATGCTCACACATGTGCCCGTGAGTGTGCCCATGTGCACACACTCACACCCATACATGTGTGCACACACACCTACATACACATTCTTTCTCTCAGACAGACCCCTTCAGAAATCCGGAACTCACTGAGGCAGTGCCATCACTTTGCCTTCAGACCGTACACTCAGACGTCTGGAAGGAGTCCCTCCCCCCGCAGCCCCGTGTGCCTGGTGCGCTGCATGGCGTGTGCTGACGGCGGGTCCAGGTGTCAGTTCAAAGGGAAGAGCTCGGAGGGCACCGCTCCTCCTCTGAGCCTCTGCTCGGAGGGCACGGCTGGCGGGCGGTGTGCACACGCGGCCCTCAGCAGGGGAGCCACCAACCCCTCCCCAGAGAGCGCAGGGCAGCCGCCCAGGAGCTTCAGAAAGACCGCCCAGCCAGTGGGTAACTAACAAGCACCTGCCGGCTTCGCCACGCTGCCCGCCCTCCCCGGCTCCGCCACAGTCAGAGTCACGTGGCAGGCTAATCGTTTTCCAGGGAAGTCATTGCCTCCCACAGGCCCTGGACCCGGGTTCTGGGGTGGAGCAGGTTCCAGAGAGGGTCGGGAAGAGGAGGAAGGAGAGAGGAGGTGGTGAGGAAGTGAGTGTGGGCCGATGGAGGTGGCGATCGCGAGGGGACAGTAGGAGTCGCTGGCCTCAGGGACAGAAAGGCAGCCTTCCCCGCTCGAGGTCCAGAGGCAGGGCAGGGGCAGGTGCAAATAGGTCAGCCAGACGGCATTGCAAGACTCACAGCTCAGCTGGGGGAGCCTCATGCCCAAATCCTGGGGCGTCTGCTCAGAGAAAAGCGACTGGAGCACACTGTCCCCGTCTGCTTGTCTGTCCGGACAGCAAAGGGTGACTCGGACTCTGACACCCAGGTGTCCACGCCCAAGGCCCCGGCCACCCACAGGTCCCGGCGTGAGGCCCGTGTGTCCTGACGGGGGTCGCTGACCCTTTTCCGGCTGTGGTCCTCCACGCTCGTCACATGGGTGGTGGGGGACGTGGGCCTGTGGCGAGGCTCCCAGGAGGCCGGTTAGGAGCTGCCCCTGTGTCACAGCTGCCTGTACCCGTGGGTCCTGCAGCCGAGCTGGCGACATGCACCAGGAGAGGCTTCCCGCTCGGCTGTCCAGACCAGAGCCTCTCCCAGCTGAGGACGCTGCGTGGCTGTGAATGGAACTTGGGTGGAGAGTGAGGCAATTATTTTTCTATTTCAGTCTGCCCAGCCACTTGTGTCCACAAGGTCCCCGTGTCCCACCCCTAGATCTGCTTGGTGCCATGATCCTGACCTCACCGTCTCATACTGGCCACGTTTCCAGGAGAGAAGCTACAGGTCAACTCCTAGCATCATATCAGCATGATAAGCCTGGCGCTTTCTCTCCTGAGCAGCTGCCCTGCTTCCCTGCCCCCCCTCCTCCCCCACTCCCCTGGGAGACGGGGTACAGAGTTGGGTCTGAGCACAGCTACGGGTAACAAGACCCTGAAAGTGCCAACCCGCCCAGGGCCGAGTGCGGCCGGGGGCGCTGAGGGCTGTCACCGGGCAGAAGTAACTTGGAGTGTTTAGGTCACAGGATGGGGATTCAGAGACTAAATGTTTCAGACGCCGCACCTGGCGGCTCACCGTCAGGAGACGCAGCGGAGTGAGGCCTGGAAATGAGGTTTGTACGCCCGTTTGTCAGATTCCATGTGGGAAGAGCTGTGTTTGTCTTCTGGTTTTATGTCTCACACGCTGTGTACCGCGTGACTCCTGCTTTTTTGAAAATAAGGCACCGCATGACTTTGTAACCGCGATCACATATGTCCATTAAACATGTATCCAGGCCACAGCCTTGTGCGTGTTCTTTCTGACTCCGGACCGTTCTCCACGGGGAATTCCTGCAGGTGGAGGTGTGTCCGTCACGTGCTGCTACCGCCAGGTGAGCCCACACCATTGGGACAGCTCTGCCTGCACCCTCCGACCCAGTGGGCAGACTGGAGCAGGAGCAGCCGCGCCACCTGCCCCCTTCTCTCCACACCGTGGGCTGCTTTCCCTTGGATTCTGGGGGACCCTGCTGTTCCCAGCCTGGGCGGCTGGAGCCCCAGTCACATGGCTCCAGTGCTGACACTGAACACAGCGCCGGGCTCAGTTCTGTGGCCCTGGGCTCGGTGCCTGGTTAGGCCAGTGGTCAGCAAACTCATTAGTCAACAGAGCCAAATATCAACAGGACAACGACGGACATTTCTTTTGAGAGACACATTTTTTAAACTTAAACTTCTTCTAACGCCACTTCTTCAAAATAGACTCGCCCAGGCCATGGTAGTTTGTGGAAGAGCCACACTCAAGGGGCCAAAGAACCGCATCTGGCTCTAGAGTTGCAGTTTGCTGACCACGGGACTAGGGGATGGGTTGAGAGCATATGGGGGGAGCAAGTTTACACAGAAAGGAGCCGGGACAGGAGCAGGTCTCTGGGGGAAGGACCATGAGGCCCCTGTGGATACGGTGGCTGGGCAGACCGAGGGTCTGACTGGTCTCTGAGCGTCTCTCATCCCGCTGCCATGATGCAGGGTCGCTGAGTCATCTTTATTCCCCTTTT